GTATTTGTTGAAAAACATAGTGTTATCTTCCAACCAGTTATTCATATTGCCAGATATATGCATGTAAAATTGGAAGAAAGAAAAAATGTGTAAGAGTTTAAGAAGATAAAAAGGAGAACCAATTGGAAAAAGGAGATGAAACAAATTAAAGCAATAACTGCTTCTTTCCATAAACAAGCAGAAATGCACAGCAGAGTTATCCAAACCATCCTGCTTACATATATAGAAAAATCTCTTTCCCCCACTCTCTCTCCTTTCTCTTCAAAGTAATAAATCTTTCCTTTTGAATAAATTCATTCTCTCTTTAAAAAAATAAATAAATAAAATAAAATAAAAGCAGGCTCTTCTAATCTTTTCACCTATATAAAACTGACCAAATTACTGCCCCCTGTAGGCTTCCACTTTCTCATCTACAAATTGAAGACAATATCTAATTATTTCACGAACCTATGAGCATCAATGAGTTAAAATATTAATAAACATTAACATTATGGTTTGTGTCTAGTTGTCCCCCCAAGTCTCATGCAGTGATGGGGCAGACTTCTAAAAGGTTGTGATTAAATTCATGATCCAATGCTGGGATTATGGGCATGAGTGCTACACCTGCCCTGGGGCAGATAACCTGGAAGCAATATAAGCAAGGGAGAGGCTTGCCTCTGCTGTGCTGCCACTGCTCTTCCCTTTTTGCTCTTGCTGTTTTGTTGCCCTCTGCCATGTGCCACTCTGCCTTGGAGCCCACTAAGTATGGACAAACGTCCACAAACTGTGAGCTAAATTAACCTTTCTTTCCTTAATTCTGGATATCAGGTATTTTTTTCCCACCAATGAGAGAAAAGTAACTGAAACAATTATCTTCTTCCCTTTTCTATTATAAGAGGTGCAAAGTACATTAAACAAAAAAAAAAAAAAAAAAAAAAAAAAAAAAAAAAAGATTTTAGAATCAAAATTGGGTTGGTATTACAGTGTTACCACTCAGTAAGCATCTAACTTTGGTCAAGATGGTCAAACATTGTAAACCTCAGGTTTCCTATTTGTGAAGAGGTTTGTTCTGCCAAATATTTCAAATGTATGTAAAAGTACTGGGCACTGTCAGCATTAGCATAGTACACCAATCTGAGGTGGTCATTACAGGTGGTACTGATGTGCAGAGTGAAACACAAAAAGCTAATTATCACCGACATCTTAATGGCAAAAATAAAATGAAATCGTGAATTAAAAGTTTATACTATTTTTTAAAAAAGTAAGGCCAGGAATGGTGGCACACACATGTAATCCCAGCATGCAAGACAGTGAGGCAGGAAGATCACTATGAGTTCAAGGCTAGCCTGAACTACAAAGCAAGACCCTGTTTCAAACACAAAACCAAAAATAAAAGCAGATAAAACTGGTAAAGGAAAAAGCACTGCAGTTTCTATTCTTAGAACACTTTCAAGCATAGTACTTAATTCATTTACACCTCAAAATTTTCAGGAATATACATTATCAATTATTAAAAGGTAGAGCTAATAGAAAATAGCAAGATGGAGGGAGTGGAGAGCAATCAGATTTAAAAAGAATAAAGGGGGTCATATTGCTTGGCAAACACAAGGTCTTGAGTTCGATTCCCAAGAACTTCAAAGAAAAAAAGGGGATCAAATTGTGAAGTGCTGTGTATGTGTACCAAATTCCTACAAGGAATGAAGCCATGCACCATAAACGTGTATATAAAATTATATACATATATATGAAGGCATATATATATAAAATATATTATACATATATATATTATATATATATATATGAAGGCATCCAAAAGATGCAGAAAGGCAGAGGAAAGGGATGCCATTAAAACTATAGAATTAAGAAATCTCACATAAATGTACCAATTCCCCACAATAAATGTAATCATTATGTACTACAAACATATTCAGTTGGAAAAAAAAGGTAGCGCTAAGAAACTTTCTTCTATGGGCCAGGGAGATGGCTCAGCAGAATAAGCGCTTCCCTGCCAAATGCAAGGGCCTCAGTTCAATCCCCAGTTCTGCCAAAAAATTAAAAAAAAAAAAAAATTCTCTTCTAGAGCCAGGCATAGTGTCACAGGCTTATAATCTTAGCACTTGGAAAGCTGAGGTAAAGAATCACCCCGAGTTCAAGGCTAGCCTGAACTATACAGTGAGATCCCATCTCAAAAGAAAAAATTAAATAATAAGCTTTCTTTTATTTTAGATATCGAAGGTATATTACATCTCTGTATTTTTACTCATAGTAGGCAGACTAAGAAAATCTTAGAAATTAAAAAACACCAAATAAACTGAGTACAATAGTGCACACCTGTAATCTCAGCTATGCTGGAGGCTGGAACAGAAGGATCAGAAGTTCAGAAGCCACGATCCCATAATAGAAAAGAAGCTGGAAATGGTACATTGCTCCTGGGTTCAATCCCTATCACTACACATACCAAACAAAAACAAGTAAGTTAGATGTGATGATACAAGCTATAATCCCAACATTCTGGGAAGCTGAGGCAGCAAGATCCCAAACTCAAGACTGCCCAGGGAAATTTAGCAACTTATTAAGAACCTCTGTCAAAAAATGGTGTGAGGGAGAGGGAGAAACAGCATTAGCTCAGTGAGAAAGTCGTGGGATATTCAGCAAACAGATTAACAGAATATGTTAGTCTAAATATATTTTTTAAATGATCTTCTTCATTCCTATTAGTAGGATGGTCTATGCTTTCAATGTTTTAAGAAGGCCTATTTTCTGGTGAAAGGCAACTATTTTATAGCTTTAAATGAACAAAGCTAAATAAAATGCGTCACCTATGAATGACAAAATTCTGCGCTAGGCCTGAATTAGCACTAGTAATGTCAGCCTGACTTGGGAGTTGGAAGGCAGGGCCCAAGTAAAACCATAGAAACCAAGCCAAGCACGGTGGAGCCTGCCTGCAATCCCAGTACTTGGGAGTGGACAAAACATCAGATTTTGAGTACCTGGTCAATGTGGACTTCAGAGTATGTCTTTGTCTCAAAAACAAAAGAGTAGCAAAATGATGATTACTGAATGTAGCTACTTCACATGCACTATATTACATGCTTTTTCTACTATCACAGGCTAACACTGCAGTACTAATTCTACTCATCTCTATTTTGTGATGAAGACAGTAATCATCATGAACATGTTTCAGATCGAGGTTTCTTTAAATCCAGCACCCACAATCTTGCCCCCCAAACCATTCCTTGTACTGTAATTATAAACAAATACATTGCTTTGGGGGGAATCTTTCTTTTTTTTCTGGAAGTAAAAGGAAATTCTTCTGCTATCACTACTAAAATGTTGATTTATGCTACCAAGCCAAACAGGGGTTTAAAAAAAAGGGTGAAAACAGTACACTAAAAAGTATACCCATATTTACATTATGTAACTTGTCAATATCATTAATAAAACTAAATTCACAAGGTATGATGGTGCACGGCTATTATTCTAGCACTCAGAAGCTGAAGCAGGAGTAACACTGAATTTGAGGCCAGTAGACTACATAGTGAGTTCAAGGACAGCCTGAACAGTACAGCAGGACCCAATCTTAAAACACAATCAATCAATCAATCAATCAATCAATAAACTTAACTCCACGTCACAGACATCAGAACACTGAATTTGAAAATGAAAAACAAAGCCAGGTGCAGTGGCACATGCCTATAACCCCACTCTGGCTGAGAGGCTGAGGCAGAACTAAATTCAAGCCAGCTTTGGTAACTTAGCAACTTAAAGAGACCTTGTCTCCAAAAAATAAAAAACATAAATGGTCTGGGAATGTAAGTAAAACCACCCTCGGTTCATTTTCTGGTACCACTACTTCCCACCCCTATAAAGAAAGAAAAAGGAAAAACAAGTATTGTACAAAATGTTCTTGATACAATTGCTCTGATAACTACAGTGGAAGCAGATAAAACAAAACGTATATATCAGTAGAAAATACATATAAAATCTAACCTCCCTAGCACAGAACAATCATAATACTAAAACATCACATGGAGAGAAAACATTCTCTCAGGCTTTCACAGAGAGCAAATTGGTCAAGCAATGGCCATGACTCATCCACATGGCTGACACTGACAAAGGATCTACAAACTGCGGTACAGGGTTTCAGGATAAATCCTGAGGGGATTTGACTGACCCTGTCACATACTAAAGTTACATTTCTTATATATATCTTGCTCTTAACTATCCAGCAGAAAAGCATAAAAATGAGGTATAAAAAGTAAAGTCATATTAATATGCCGAGCTGTAAAAGGCTCAAGTCAATAACTTCTGACATTGCCAGTCTTACAGAAAACCCACTACTATTATGGACTACTGTACTATTTTGGAATATTTTGCTGAATTCACACACCTATAATATTTAAATGACAAAACTAAACAAAAAAGGGGATGCAAATGAATGACCATTTTGTATCTATATTCAAAATAGGATAGATATATAGCTACATTCTCTTAATTAGATGAATAGAAAGATTTCTTAATTTCTTATACATTGCTCCAGTTTTTTCTTCTTCCAATTTTATGTGTATATATCTGGTAATATGAATAGCTGGTTGTAAGACAATACCATGTATTACAACAAATACTGTGAAATTCATATTACTTTGTTAAGTAAAATTCTGTATGAGTTGTCAAAAAAAAAAATAAAGTGAAAAAAAAGTTATCAAGTATAAGTCAAATATATTTTATTCAAATATGCTTTATTCAATGACTTTTCTATAATGTATATTTAAGCTTCTTCTTCACTAGTAACAAATGCTTTGCTTTTAATGGTCACATGAATACATTAGTAAATTTTAGATAACACAGAAACATACCCCCTCCCTTACATAGGACACTAGAAAAAGATTCCCTTTTAGGATTTAAATAATAAGCAAAATAGTATACACTGAATTCAAATGTTGGTCACATAGTTCATTTTCTCTAAAAATATCTTAAAATATCTAAATGTCTGAATTTTAAAATAAATTTTGATCACTCACCGACTGCATGCTTACTCCAACCTGCTGAAAAACCATCCTCATCAGGCGCTTAATCCAGCCAAGCATTTAGATGGCAGAGCCTTCCCAAATTTGCATTTCAAGTACTTCAGGCATACATAGCAGAACATGGTCCATAAAGCAAACTGAAAATTTTAAATGCAAATACCAGAATGAATTATTATATAAAACCTTTGGTGTCTACAGCACGAGTCACAAAGTAAGGCGAATACATTTAAAAATTTTTTGTATAAATTAGAATAAAACAAAATTTGCCTGTGATCAGTTTGCTTAAGGTAATAATAACTATATAAGAATTTTTAAAATTATCTTTGCAGTCTAGGTTCTTGCTTTAAAATAAGGAGAGCCTACAGTGGCTAATTTAAGTAGGGAATACATTTAAGACATGGTGGTACACATCTATAAATTCAGCACTTCAGAAGAATCCCCAGTGAGCCCACTGTGTGCAACTTATCTCAAAATTTTATATACATATGTATGTATATATACATACACATACACACACACACACACACACACACACACACACATAGTACAGGGTCTAGAGATCCTCATTACATAGGTTGGACTTGTAGTCATTCTCCTGTTTTCAGTCTCCCAAGAGCTGAGATTACAGGTATGTGCCACCACGCCCAATGCCCAATCTCAACCTCAATTACCATCTCAGCATGCCCCAGGGGTGGGACCAACAGGACTCAAAACTTTTTAAGAAGGGTAGCAATGCAGTTTAGTGCAAAGCAGAGGGAAGTGATTGAACAGAGAAGTGTGCTTGGTAGTACAGTTGATTTAAATTTAGATGCAAACTCCTTTCATCATGGAGTTGTCTGCACTTTGAGAAGAACCGTACAATCAGAGAATCAGGAGAAAAACATGAATGGCACAATACGGTAAACACAGTAAAAATGAACTGAAAAGAGCTGTGTCCTAATGACAGAAGAGTGGAAAGGAGGATAAGCACAGGGGTAAAAATGAACAACAATTCCACCAGAAATATAGAAATGAATTTATAGGGGGAAACAGGAAAAAAAAACAAGTATCAGATTTAACGTAAGTTGAAACTACACAGAAGAATCTGACTCCAGGTGTTAAGACACTTCAGAAAGTTTGCTGAAGGGCTGGGTATCTAGGTTTTTAGCTCACTGGTGTACAACACTTGCTTAGCATATGAGAGGTCCCTAGGTTCAATCCCCAAAACCACCATCATCAAAAGAAGTTTGAATTCGCTAAAGTTTAAAGTAAATATTATTTTTGATTCTTTGGAAACTATAGTAAGAAATAACAGTACATTTTAATGTGCTCTGTACCAATTTTCTTAGCTTCCTGAGACAGTGTCTCACTCTTACCAAACTTACTCTATAAACCAGGCTGCTTGAACTCACAGCACTCCTCCTGCCTCGGCCTCCCAAGTGTCAGAATTATAGGCATGCACCACCATACCAGGCTCTGTATCAATTTTTACCACATCAGAAAGTCCTAATCTGCTAACAACTTTGACTGTTTTATAAGTAAATGAAAAATCTCTGAATTCTGAAATAATGCATTAGTCACCTTTACTTATTGTAATGTCAAATAAGTATCCTTCAGTAAAAATGTCTACCCATGAAACTCTGCAGTAAGAATAAGAGTTAACTTCAGTGAATATTTACATGTGCCAGGAACTATGAGGAATATTTTATGTTTAAGTTACTATATACAAAATCTAAATTACCACAAACCACTTTTAAGAAATTAGACACCAAATTATCCTCAATTTCTAGAGGGACACACTGAATTGTAGTTCATATCACTTAATTAACAGCTACTTTCATGGCAATTAGGATTCATCTTTTTTTTTTTTTTTTTTTTTTTTTTTGCAGAACCGGGGATTGAACTCAGGCCCTTGCGCTTGCCAGGGAAGCGCTTATTCCACTGAGTCATCTCCCCGGCCCCAAAAATAAAGCCTTGTAAAGTTCAGTGGGCGGCTTTCTTTTCTTTTTTTTTTTTTTTGTGGAACCGGGGATTGAACTCAGACCTTTGCGCTTGCCAGGCAAACACTTATTCTACTGAACCATCTCCCCAGAACCCGGCAATTAGGATTCAAACCAGATGTTTAGATAAGTTTTGTTTTTTGTCCACTACACCATGCCACTCTGAAAAAGACAGTAATAATTTGGGGAACACATTAGAAAACATTGAGCACTTTCTAATAAGTATTATTTTGTCATACTGCTACCCTACTCAGCTTTCCCCATGTTTATATCTTAAATTACTGACATAAAATAGTAAAGTATTCAGTCTCTGGATCTAGATGTTTTAGCTTTGTACCACCTACCACAATTGGTACCTTGAAACAAGCTACTTTCAGATAGTACTTCAGAGTTGTGAGAACTGAGAGACAATGCATAAACCATTTTAGAGACACTACTAAGAAAATTAGGTTGACATTAACAGCAATGAAAAATCAATATTCAAGATAACACAAATAAAAATCAGATAAGGCAAAGTAACTGAATAGAGAAACAAAAGGAAGAAGTCAAGTGACAACCAAAGTTTTGATCAAAGATGATGAAAATTACAGCTGCCACACACAAAAACCCAAAACTGAAAAGTAGCAGTTGCTCTTTGATAAAAGTAAGCTTAAAATGAGTGTACACATGAAAATAAAATTATATACAAGAGTGCTGGGCAACAGCAGGAATATTTAATGATTAATTACCACATAAAATGTCCATAACTAAATCTTTGGTCAGACAAGTAACATCCAAAAATCTACTGCTGGTTGCACGAATTAATCTTCTGTGAATCAGTGAGAATAAAAGGAGCAAAAAACCAAAACAAACATCAAAAATAGAAATTGCAAAAACTGGGCAAAGAAAATGATTAAATACAGAGGACTGAACACCTCTCTTTTCATTTAGTCTTTTTTTATGAAAGCACACAAATATACATTATTTTCTTTTAGGTAGACGGGTCTTTTTACTGTCCATGAAGTTTTGCTTTTCTAGAATATCAGAGTCGAAATCATCCCGTAAGGAATCTTTTCAGATTGGCTGTTTCCAGTGAGAAAGATGTATTTAAGGTTCTTTCATGTCTACTCATAGTTTGATAGTTCATTTTGGTATTGAATAATATTCCAATGTCTGGACAAACCAGTTTATTTACCCATTTATTTATCTATGCAGCTACTCAAGGTTATCTTGCTTGCTTATAAGTTTTGACAATTATGAATAAAATGCTACAAATATCTCAGCAGGTTTCATCATTTTTAAAATAGACACTGTATCACTCGAAGTTCTCCAGAGAAACAGAACCAATAGGGTATGTTTGATACATACAAAGAAAAAGAGAAAGTACCTCTCTCAACTGTAAAAGCTAATCTACATGTATATTGTAAACTAGAGATCTAAGTAAGCTAATGGTATTCAAAGGCCTGTGTGAGGGCAAAGGATAGATGTCCCAGCTCAATCCAAGAGAAAATTTGCTCTTCCTTTGACTTTTTGTTCTTGTGAGGTCCCCAGAGATTGCACAATAACCCCATCAGTGTGGTAAGTCTTTACTCAGTCTGTAACAGTGGTGGCAACCCTATGCACACATGCAGCAGCAGGCTGTTTGCATCACTGAAAGCTCCATAGTAAAACTCATCACCACTGGTCTATAGACTGAAGCGTAAGAGGCCGGGCAGATGGCTCAGCAGAATGAGTGCTTCCCTGGCAAGCACAAGGGCCTGAGTTCAATCCCTGGTTCCACCAAAAAAAGGAAGACTGAAGTGTAAATCTTGTCTGAAACATCCCCATAGACATACCCAAAAATAATGTATTACCAGCAATCTGGACATCCAGTAGCATAAGCCAGCTGACAAAAAAAAACTAACCATCATGGGCTGGGGTGGAATGGTGCAGGACTTGACTTGCTTAGCAAGCAATGAGGCCTGGAGTTCAATTCCCAGCTGAGCAAAAATAAGTAAAGAAATGTCTGGATTAGAAATAAGTATTAGGGAACACTGGCTTAGAAAACTAAGAGATGAGATTTACTAATGCACATAGAGTAAGAAGAGAAACCAGCACACAGACAAGTCAAGAAATATTGAAAAACGAAGTCATGGAGAAAAAGTGATCAAAGGGGTAGGAGGAAAACTATAGTGGTACTGTCTCCCCTCTCCCCTACAAATAAAAAAGGAAAATTTCAAGAGAAGTAATAGTCCATAGAAGGGAAGTTATACTTGTTGGCTTCCTATTACTACCCTTTTTCACTAAGCTTCCCCAGCATGCCTACTGTAAAACTGAATGTAAACATCCTCCCAGCTCCCTATCTTCAACATATTCACCAGTGGGGTCTCCTGGCACACTCTATTCTTTATTTTTAACTTGGTTTATCCATCCCACAATTTTCATGTATCTAACCAGCCTCTTCCTACCTTCTACCAATCCAAACAAAAATCACTTCCACCACTGCTTTATTATTTTCAATTATTTGTTCTACTATCTGTAAGTCAGAACTTGATGAATCTGACAGCCTGTATTTCCTATGACTAAGCTACACAAAAATTACTAAACTTTTCCTGTTGATGTCATTATAAATGTACTATCTCTAGTCTCAGCTGGGCCCTCATTACGGCCTAGCATCCTAAGAATTTTTTTATTTCCCTGTTCTTCCCAGTTTTGCATTCTCAAGAGCATGTCTTTCAAATTTTCTCTAAACTACATTCTATGGTTTGAATGTATCCACCAAAGTTCTTGTGTTGGAAACGTAATTCCCAGTATAATGGCATTGTGAGGTGGAACCTTTAAGAGGTGATTAGGTCATGAGAGTTCTACTCCTGTAAATGAATTAATATTATCATGGGAGTGGATTTCTCCAGCAAAAAGGATTTATATATATATACACACACAAAGCCCTTATTCATATACACTTTCCCCCTTCTCCTCCTCCTTTGTTCTTCTCCCTCCTCCCTTATTCACCTTCTACCATAGGACAGCACAAAGGGCCTTACTACTGGTGAGCCATGCTTTTGGACTTCCCAACCTCCAAAACAACAAGCCAAATAAACTTCTGTTCTTTATAAATTCAGGTACTTCCTTTACAGCAGCAAAATATAAATTAAAATATCATCAAACTCTATCCATCTCTTCCTCCACAACTTCTCAGC